AAACTGTTTACTGAGCTTATAAATCAAGTTAGAAGTTGGGTAATTTCTCCATTAGACTCAATACTATTAGACTTGCCCCCTGCTGATCATTATAAATAATACAGGTTTTTGTGTTGGTGTGCGGTAGTAATTTTTTGTCAACCTCTGTCAATAGCTCAAAGGTAGGAGGTCATATTTTAGGTTTTATGAACAAAGGTTTTAATGATAAAATGTTTTTTATGTTCTTCAGGTTCTCACATCAACATGGGCTCTCGAGTCCTGATAGTTTCCAGGCGGGCCAGGAGCCGCTGCAGCGCCGTAACCATCGCTTTCCTCATGCATCACCTCAAATACACGCTGGAGGTGAGTGTGGATCATTCAGTCCGGTTTCAGTCGAAGTCAAACAGTCAGAATAAGAGCCAGAAAATTAGGTTTTGGTGTAAAATGGTTCCAACCCTGGCCACCTGAGAGGTTTCACATAATAGTACAAAACTTTCACCGACATTTTTTTTTGATTTCTGTTAGTTTAAGAATTAAACAAACTGTATTTTATCTGTTTTAAAGTATAAAAGCGACAATTTTTAAGTTTTACTGCTCGCATACAGACACAAGAGGTGTATCTTAGCATCTGAATCTCAGCTACAAAGCAAATAAATATATATTATTTATTAAATCATTAAATTTACAGTACATAATGCTGTTTGTTTGACTTTTTTCAGGATGCCTGGAAGTACGTGCTCAAATGTAAACCCAACGTTAGGCCGAACACAGGGTTTCTACAGCAGCTGTCCGACTGGGAGCTTCACACCGCGGGAACAAAAGTGACCGACATCTCTGAACCTTGTTTTTAACAACCAACAGCTATAAATAATTCATATATTTAAACAAATAAAGATAGAGACATGTTTTCTTTATTTCAAATGACTCTTCATGGATGTTTTGTATATGGAATAAAGTAAGTGGACAGTGACACCTTGTGAGTTTATTTGTCTTTAACTTGTGTTGTGGGACACTTTTGTACTTATTCTGTTGTTCGGTTATTCAAGTTATTTATGAATAAATGTAATTAAATGGTAGTTCAGTCCATACATGGCTCTGCCAGAGGTGCTAACAATATGTCTACTGTAGTTTTCTACAGAGTTACATAACATCAGCTCTAAAAATACAGGCCACATGCCAATTAGAGCCAGATTTAATTCCCTTTCAGGAGTGAGAGCAGAGCAGAGAACAAACCAAACAATATATGGAGTTTAAACAGCTTTATTTATATTAATATATAATATTAAACGTCAGAAGCCCATTATTCTGTAGTTATATGGTTTAATGCTGTTAAAGAGAGGTACAGTAGAGCTGCCTGACAGACAGCACTCAGGGTGTAATATTAAAAGCACAACAAGTGTTCCCGGCGCTGATTGGTTGAAAGGAGGAACCCAAAATGTTATACGTCACCGAGGGGACATCTGATTGGATAAACCCGATGCAAGAGGCACGTCCACGCACGCATAAAACCGGACGTTTTACGTGGCCTTAAAAAATAAAAGCACGGAAAGTTGTGATGGTTAAAATGTCTTTAGATGTCAATTGTGATTTTCCAGAAACTTTTCAGGAAAAAAATAATAATTCTGGGTAAAGCAGAGACGTTATGTAAACATGTTGAATTTGTCTACTTTACTTAATCAAACTTACTGTTTGTAGTATTTGTTTATGTGTTGTTTGTTTTTAATAGTAGCACATACTGAACTACAGCTTGAATTTCATTGTACAGTCCCACGTTTTAAAGTGACAAATGATCCTTGTATGAAGAATAGAGTTTATAATCATAAATGAATGAAGCATTGGCAACTGTTATATCAGAGAAACAACAATTTTATATATTTGATGTATTTATATTATTTTATAGTGGGAAATAATTATTTTCATGGTCTGATATTGATGTATTTTAATAAGTTTATTGCATTAGTAAACCCATTAATTAATTATATATGTACCTATATTATGTATTTGTCACGATAGTACTTTATAGGGATAACCATTAATTACTTATTATGTCTAGTATTGATGTATTTTTCAAATATTTTATACGGAAACTATTAATTAATATATCTCTGTATTGCTATAGTAATTATGTATTTAGTATACTTTAAGTTTATAGGTCGAACCTATTATTATTATTATGGTCTATATGATTGTTTTTATAGATATTTATAGGAAACCATTAAGTTATATAAGGTATATGTTATATCGTTATTATGTATTATAGTATATTGGTAATGGAAAACATTAATATAATATATATTGGTCTATATTTGTATTTTATATTAATTTATAGAACATTAATTATTGATATTTTATGTATAGTATTTATGGTATTCTTAATATTTATAGGTAACATTTAATTATTATATATTGATATGTATTACTTATTAGATCGTACTTACTCTAGCTTGCCGGTATTTAGGAAGTACCATTAATTATAGTATATGATAGTAGTAGTATTCGTTAGTATTTTTATATATCTTATAGGAACCCTTATTATTATTATATGTATATTATTATGTATATATATATTTATCAGGATATTTAAATCCATTATTGAATTATATGTCTATAAAATTTGTATTTTTATATTTAATACAGGAACACCATTAGAAATTTTTTAGTTATAGTTTATTATGTTTATATGAATATTAAAGGTATTAGGTAGTAATAGAGCTAACGTTCTAATGGAAAAGATTAAAATTATTTATATGTCTATATTATGTATCGATTTGTATTATTAGTTTAATATGGAAGCCATTATTATATACCATTATATGTGAATAGTAGTTAGTTGTTATTTATAGTATTTTTATAGGAAAATTAATTATTATTATGTCTATCATGTGAGCTGTCCCCGTCTTGTATCTCAGTTATCCCCCACTCCGCCCGAACCCACCCTAACATTATCCACTACCCCGCACCCTCCAACTCCGATTGGTGTCCGACTATGTCTGGTATCTGTCTTCATGGACGCCTGTTGATCATACTCACGTTATACTCACGGAAAGCCACTTCGGATGTATATTTATAGCTTTATACGTGTAGGTACCGCCGGTACTCTCATGGCTACCTTCATATACGTATTCTTATACGGCAAACCATTAATTATACTACCTTCATATGTATACGTTACCTTGATAGTCATTATTAGTACTCGGTACTTTATCAGGAACAGATTACTTAGTATATCCTTATTTATATGTTATCCCTATTGTGAGTGGTACGTATATTATTATTGTTAGTAGGAAACCATTAACTTATATATTGATATTATTCCATTGTAGTTACTATATTATGGTTTTATAGGTCAAACCATGATAATTATTATGATGTCTATATTATGTATTTATATATTTATAGGGAAAAGCCTTAACTTATATACTTTAGTTCTTATGGTATTGATGTTGATATAAGTGTATGTATGACTATTATTTATAGATGGAAACCATTATTATATACTAGTATTGTAGTGACGTAGCCTACTTAACGTGCTGTTTAATTTCCTTATATATTATATGTATATACTATATATGTATATTTACAGTAAACTATAAAGACATTCATTCATTCCTCTCATCCAGAGCTGTGGACTCTTTTAGGCCTTTATTTTGAAGGCAGTGGCAGGAAGTCGCTGTCAGGGTCGTTTTGACAGCCGTCCAACTGTTGCACAGCGGAGCTTCAGCATTACTCAACCCCGGGAGCTTTTCCCGATGCCAGAGTAAAAAATGTTGTTCAGTCCGACGGGTTTGGGTGAATGTTTCCGAGAGTGGGAAGATTTAGAGAAGAACTACCAACAGATTCAGGTGAGTTTAACGCTCCTGTCTCCGGTAACGGTACCGACGGAGGTGTGCCCTGCCCCGGGGGGAGCTAACAGTCCCCACACAGCCGAGGGTGGGAGCCGCCCTCACATATCTTTATAAAGATAAAAAACAACAAGATTAAAAGAAAAAGTTAGAGATTACAGATGAACAACTGCCGCCGGAACTGTTGTCTTGTTGTCCCCGCACGGCGCTGTTTACAGGAAGCACCGCTGGTTCAATGCGGCGTTTAATATCTTAATCCATAAATCTCGATTTACAGTAACATATGGGACATATTTAAACCGGGAGACATGAATTTAGATTATATACAGCAATAGAGGAAGCAATCGGGTACTTTACTTAAGTTAAAGTACTAATAACACACCGAAAATATACTTTATTACAGTAAAAGCTTCAGTATAATCAGGAAAATGTACCAATATCAAAAAATAAATGTACATACACAGATTAAATGTCCCCATTGACTATTTTACTGTTATATATTATGTCATTAGGTTATTATGACTCATGCATTAATGGACCAGAGCCAGAATGTCTAAATAATGATGTTATTATGATACTAAATGCGTAACATTCATGGGTTTTTGCATTAATTTGAAAGGCCAGTAGATATTAGTAAAATTTCACACAAATTTTAAAACTTTTAAGGAGATACAACAGATAAAAAACAAGATATTCCTGCCATAAATTCTATAAAAACTCTATAAAAGAAGAAAGTTATTATAAGTTGAATCACTTGCTGGAGTCTAGGCCTCTGGTTCCCAACCTTTTTTTCTTAAAGAACTCATTTTCTATCATTTGTTAAACTGACTCAATCATATATTTTATGGATATTTCATATTATATTAAAAACTGTACAATAAAACCAAACAGTGAACTAACTGCAGGAAGTTTGTGTAAAACCAGAGATTTG